TTATTTTGACAGACTAATATGGAGAGCAACCCCCTTAATTGTACTATGGTCTATTTGGAAACTTAGAAATGATTGTGTATTTTCTAATGCACAACCCTCTTCTACAGGACTGCTAGATCTTATAAAATTCAGATCTGCCATTTGGCTCAAAGCTACCATTAAGGAATTCCCATACTCAGTTGATGATCTCGTCTACAATTGGAGACAGATCAGGGGCGGAGTTTAGTGCTCTGGATTCAGTTTAGTGCTATATGGGTTGATGTTGTCTGCTGCATTGGTGTTCTGTCAGTATGTTAATATCCCTTGCCTACTGTTTTGTTCTGTCTGCTGTCTGCTGGTTTGTTCTATCTGTGCATCTGTGCTTTATTTGTGTTCTGGCAGTCTAATTCTGGTCAGAGCACATGCATTGCCTGTTGTTCTATTTTGGTCTGTGGGTGCCTCTAAACAGTTCTATTTCGTGTTGTTGGGGACTGCTTCTACTAACAGTTCTGTTTTGGTAAAATCATTTTGGTCTGTGGATGCCTCTGCAGTGTTGCTGTTATATTCACACTGTTGCTGCAGTTTGAATATGCCATGTCTTCTGGTTTGATCTATCTGCGTAATTTACAAGCAGTTCTATTTTGGCCTTGCCTGCTGTTCTGTTTTGGTCTGTGGGTTGGTCTGTGGGTGCATCTGCAGTGTTGCTTGCAGTGTTGCTGCTCTGAGCTTGGAGGTTTGCAAACTGCTACTACTAGTTTGTCTACTACCAGTTAGTTTGTTTGTTGGATGTTTTCATTTCTTCTTCTGTTTTCTTTTTTTGTTGGTGCCTCACTAACTGGCGCTTGGAGCTTGTTCTCAGCTCCAAGCTCTTCTTTATTGACGTAATATGTCATGCTTTGTTTGCTTCATCAATAAAGATTTGTTTTAGCCGATCGAAAAAAAAGTAGTATATGCTTGTTTGGTTGAATTCTCTTTAATCAGTGATCATGGGTGCTACAGATGATTGGGTAATTCCAATGATGCCAACATAATTGGATGGTTGGTTATTGCTTTAATACTTATAGCACTCTATTCATTTCTCTTTTGATCTATTTTTATTGATGTTTGATAGAAGAAAGAATCCTTTTAATCGTATCAATAAAGTTTTATTTTACCGATCAAAATAAACAAATAAAAAAACTAGGAAGTAACAATTTGCAATCTTAGACATCCTCATCTTTCTCCTTAATATTGCATTTTCTTACTTTGTATTATTGTATGCAAGATTAAAAGGGCTAATGTGCATTGTCAAGGAAACAAAAAAAAGACATGTTTACAAGTGATTTCCTCATACCAATGTCATTAGGCTTGTATTACTATTGAATTTCTGTCTCCCCCCTCATCTCATCTCTCTCTCTCTCTCTCTCTCTCTCTCTCTCTCTCTCTCTCTAATATGAGTAATTGATAACATTACACAGTCAACGTCACATGATATTTCAAAACTATTTAATATTTTATTTATTCATAATAATAGAAACATAAAATACATAAAACACAATTTGTCCATATGAATCCACATTTCTTTCAAATTCCAGAGGTTTGGAGAGAAGGAAGATGGAATTAGTAGATTTAGGAATGAGACGTTTTTGTGTGTTTATTTTGAGAGTTGATTAGAGTAATTGTTATAACTTATTTTGCAGTTAATGCATGAAAACAACTATAAATAAAAAATCTTTAAAATGGGATAAAAGAGGTTGTGCTTTGTTTTATTTGTTTATATTTTCAAATAAATAATAAATAAATAAATAAATAAATAAATTTATATCTTTTTCATTTCTACACATTAATATTTTTTTCATTATTTCAAAATAACATTTTGATATTTTTCATAAAATTAATCATTTTCAAAAACAATTTGCCAAACAAAAAATTTTAAATACGGAAAAAACAAATGCACAATCGGAAATAAAAGTAACGAATATTTTAGCTTGTATTTGAACCACTCTAATGCATAGGAAAAATATATATACAGTTTTCTTTAATTTTACTCTTTATATTTTTAAAATTAATTTATCTAGTCCCTAAAAATGTTGACTTTTTTGGTTTTAGTGATTTTTTTTTTAAATTAAAAAAAAATCTTTTGAGTTCTATTTGATTAGACGGATCAAAGTAGTAGAAAAAAAATTAAAATAAATTAGCTTTTTTGGTTTATTTTTGGCTTATTATTATTATTATTATTATTATTATTATTATTATTATTATTATTGTCAGACTTTTCAGATTGGTTTATACAGGGAAAATAAAAAAATAAAAATATTTGATGTAATTTAAAAAAAAAAAAAAGAAAGACTTTTCTAATGTATGCCAAACACCTAGATCTGGGGATGTTGTTGTAAGGGTCTTACAGGCTTATTTCGAGCTTATTTTAATAATTTGAATTGCTTATATAATAAGATTGATCGAATATGTTCTTTATGGATAATTTTTTAGTGTGGAAAGAATATGGTATGCCATTTACTTATGTATTTTCATGAGAACTTACGACACGTTTTATGGGTTGACTTATGCGAATTTGTGTTAAGTTATAAAATTTTGTAAGGTGGCTTATGTATATTTGTGAGAACTTAACTCTAACTATAATTTTTTCAAATTTTAAAAGGTTAACTTACTTGAATTTGTGTTTAAGTTACGTAATTTTGTGAGGTGACTTGCGTATATTTGTGAAAACTTACGCTAAGTTTGATTTTTAAAATTTTTATGGGTTAACTTACGCGAATTTGTATTTAAGTTCTGTGATTTTGTAAGATAACTTATGTATTTTGTGAGAATTTACACAAATTTACATACAACCAACAAGATCATGGAGGCTGGCAGCTAGTGGTGTGAAGGCATGGAGGAAGATGAATATGGAATTTTAGGGACGATGTATCAATCCGCTTTGTTTATGTGGATAATATACCAGAATGTATGGAGGCAAAAGGGCTGTATAAAATCTTTTCCAACTATGGTGTAGTCATGGATGCATATATACCCAACAAGAGGAGACAATTGACGCGATCTCGATTTGGTTTCGTTAGGTACAATTGTTCGATAGCAGTAGATATGGCAATACAAGAAGCAAATGGAATTTGTTGTGATGATAGAGCACTGAAAGTGAAATTGGCAGATTTTGGGAAGGAGTATGTCACAAAGCATAAAGCAGCTCAATCAACACTACTTAGGAAGGCTAGGGAGGATAACCTTACTGTTAATGCTTGCTACGCAGAAAAAAAAGACATTTGCTGAGATTATCAAAGGAAAGGGTGTACCAACAAGATTAAAGTGCACTAGCAAGATTAAAATCATCATCATCAGTAGATGAATGTCGGGAGGAAATAGTTAGGAGAGGATTTGGGGATGTCAAAGTGAGAGTTGAAAGTGGCAGAGATGTGGTCTTGTCTTTCCAATTAGTGGAGATCATGAAGGAAAATCTCATGAGAATGAAGGAATGGCTTAAGGATTGGTGTGAATCAGTTTTAGAATGGAAACAAGGGATGGTCCTTGATCAAGAAAGGTATATTTGGCTTAGTTGTTATGGTGTTCCATTGAACTTGCGAAACTGCAACACATTCAGCAACATTGGTAAGGTGTAGGGAGTAGTGATTGGTTTGGATGAGGATATCCGAAATCTGAACTATTTTCGCTTTGGAAAAGTAAAGATAGCCACAAGTTATATGGAGCCCATTAATCAGACCATCAATTTAGAATGCAAAGATAAACTTTATCCCATTAGGGTTTGTGAGGAGCAAACAGTTAAAATGCAATGCCTTTGTACATCGCATAAATTAAGGACTGGCGAGAACAATAATCCAAAGACAGATGATGCTCAGATCACAGAAACAAACAGTAGGCATGAAGAGGAAGATGAATGCGTGAAGGCCCAAGCTGTCATGGTGATGGGCAGAAGGGCTGATGTGGAAGGAGAGAGAAAAGAAGCACCACGTGTTAAGGAAAATGTCTTGGAGGGGAGGATCTACTGAGGGATGTCCTTGTGGTGGCTGAAACAAAGATCACAAAGGATGTGTCAGAGGAAGGCGATGCACGCGAAGATGGCTCTGCGGGAAGGTGGTGAATTCCATAATGAATGATGATGATAGAAGTCAAAAGGTTGATGGGGACGTTTTAACGCTTGGTTTTATCAGAAGTATCAGTGGCTCAGAGGGTATTAGGCATGGAATTCAGTTGGAGATGGATTTGAATTCGGCCCAACTGAATGGTGGCCCAAATGGTATTAGGCTTGGGACTCATTTGGAAGAACATTAGTTTAGGACCCATTTAATAGAAGGCCTTGATAAGTCTAGCCGAAATTCTATTAGAAGTAATGGGCTGGGTTATAAGGAGCTTAGCAACACACAGTTTTCTAATGTCTCTGAAACCCAAACCCAAAGGGAGGTGGGTACTCATAAACTTAATGAGAAAGAGGTGCTGAGAGTGGTCAACCCAACTCCAAACAGAAAGCATACTTCGAAGGGGAAAGGGAAAGCAATGCGAGGTAAGCAAAGAAAAAAGAAAGGAAAGCTGGTTGGTGACAGAAATTTGGGTGAACCGTCTTTAAATCTGAGGAAAGGAGTAATTTTCAAGTCCGTTGTAGCTGTTATTTCACTCTCAATAGCAAGAGAATCCAGCCGAGGAAGGTTAGTGTTGTCGGAGGCGGAAGCATCACTTGAAATTGGTAAAGCTCTTTGTATTGATTATGAAGGGAAAGAAGAAGAGGTGATCAGCCATTTAAAAGACCTGGAAGCTCAAGATTTGGAAAGAGCAAGGACAAGGGATGGAGATGCTAATTAATTTAGCAAAATCAGGGGATGTAGAGAGTTTAGCAATGTTTAATGAAGATACAATCATGGAATGTGAGAGGGATTGGACAACCAGAGAAAATGCGGAATGTTAAGAAAAGTCTTGCTAAAAGAAGAGTGGATATTACTTTACTTCAAGAAACAAAGAAATCAGAAGTCAACTCATAGTTGGTAGAGACTATATGGCATGGTGACTATTTTGATTTCATGTCTGTTGATGCATCTGGCAGAGCTGGAGGACTGCTATGCATTTGGAACCCAAACGTTTTCCAATTGAAGGCTTGTTGTTGCAACCATAATTTCTTGTTGCTCTCAGGTACAATTTTTCATAGTTTTGATTGTGTTGTTGTCAATGTATATGGTCCTAATGAGGTGGCAAAAAGAAGAGAGGTTTGGGAGTGTTTAATAAGGTTAAAATCCATTTTCTTGGGGTCGTGGTGTATGGGAGGAGACTTTAATGAATTCATAACCATTTCAAGGATTGGGTGCTCTAGACGGGATAGAGGGATAAGGGATTTCAATTATATAATTGATCAAATGGAATTGATGGATATGCCCATGCTTAGGAGGAAGTTCACTTGGTGTAATTCCCAAGATAAAGAGAAATGGAGCAGAATTGATAGATTCTTAATTAACCATGAATGGGTGCAAAATTTCAGTTTCAATTTATGGGGTCTTCCTAGGTTGTTATCTGACCATTGTCCCATTATTTTAATGGAGGATGATAGGGACTGGGGCCCTAGGCCGTTTAGGTTTATTAATGCCTGGTTGTTATATCCTAATTTTCTCCATTTTGTGAAGCAAACTTGGTTAGGGCTTATGGTGGAAGGGTGGGCAGGGTATAAGTGTCTTATGAAATTTAAAGCATTGAAACAAGCATTAAAACAGTGGAACATGGAGGTGTTTGGAAAGATTGAGGCTGAGCTTAAAAATGTAGAAAATGAAGCTCATGCTCTTGATATATTAGCTTAAGAGAGACCACTTCTTGCTCCAGAACATGATAGAAGAAAGGAAGTTAGGAGTGAAGTTTGGAGATTAAGTAAAATGTTGGAATGGATTTGGTTGCAGGAATCTAGAAGTAACTGGGCATCTAAAGGAGATAGAAATACAAGATATTTCCACATATTTGCTTGTAGCAGAAATAGTAGAAATTATTTGTGTTCAATTTTAGTAAATGGATCATTGATTAAGGAGCCTTTGGGAATTAAAGAAGAAGTTAAGAATCATTTCAAGAGGCTATTCTTTGAATCTTGGAGTCTTAGACCTAAATTATATGGCCCTTTTAAAAACATTGGTGGTGCTCAAGTGGTGGAACAACTGGAGGAGGAGTTTACAGAGGAGGAAATTAGAGAGGCGATCAAAAGTTATGAGGGCAATAAGGCCTCTGGGTTTGATGGGTTCAACATGTCATTTTTCAAGAAGTGTTGGGGAACTGTAAAATATGATGTGCTTCAATTCATGAGAGAATTTCATCAGAATGCAAGCTTGGTCAGAGGGCTCAATAGCTCATTTATTACTCTAATTCCAAAATCTGATAGTCCATCTGGTTTGAATGAGTATAGGCCAATTAACTTGATTGGCTCTTTGTACAAGATACTTGCAAAGGTGCTAGAAAACAGGATTAAACAGGTGATGCCCAAGATAATTAGTGAGGTTCAATCAGTTTTTTTGGGTGGATGACACATATTAGATGGGCTTTTGATAGCCAATGTGGTAATTGTTGGGTGGAAAACATCTAATAGAGAAGGTTTGGTAATCAAATTGGATTTTGAAAAGGCGTATGACTCAGTTAATTGGGAGTTCTTATTTTCTATGCTCTCAAATTTTGGCTTTGGAGAGAAATGAGTGAGATGGATGAGAACTTGTGATGCTAAGATTTTTGTCTTGGTTAATGGGTCACCAACATCTGAATTTAGTCCAAAAAGGGGTTTGAGGCAAGGTGACCCATTGTCACCATTTTTATTTAACATTGTAGCAGAGGGGCTGAATATCTTGCTAAGTAAAGCCAAGGAGTTGGGATTCATAAAAGGGGCTGAGGTAGGTTCTAATGGTGTTGTAGTTTCCCATTTACAATTTGCAGATGACACTATTTTGTTTTGTGATGCTGACTGGGCGGAGGTGGTGAACCTCAAACGAATTCTGCGATGCTTTGAGGTCTTATTAGGTTTGAAAATAAACTACCACAAGAGTGTCATTTGTGGTGTGGGGGTGGATGATGGGCTGATGCCAGCTTTTGCCACTAGTTTTAACTGTCTGCATCAGAAGCGACTTTTGAAATATTTGGGGATGCCTTTGGGGGCTAATCCAGGCAGGAAAATTACTTGGAAACCTATTTTAGATAAATTCAAGAAAAAATTGTCTACCTAGAGGAGAAGGGTGCTTTCTTTACCTGGAAGGTTAACTTTAATCAAATCTATTATGTCTAACTTGCCTATCTATTACTTATCTATGTTCAAGATTCCTGTAGGGGTGGCTAAGGAGATTGAGAAAATTCAATCAACCTCCCTTTGCGGTGGTTTTGATCTTAGAAGGAAGGTGCATATGGTGAAGTGGGAGGTTATTACTAAAAACCGAACTCTTGGTGGTTTGGGTGTAAGAAGGATTACAATTATGAATGAATGTCTTTTATTAAAATGGTGGTGGAGGTTTGGGTCTGAGCATCAATCTTTGTAGAAGGAAGTGATATGTAGGAAGTATAATATAGAGGGTGCAGATGGTTATCAAGTTTGGTTGGAAAAGGCTCTAAGCTGTGGTCTGATATAATTCACACTGTCTTGTTTAATTCAGATCTACACAACTACTACCTTAATAATGCCATGATTATGTTGGGGGGTAGAAGGAAAACACATTTCAAATTGAATAAGTGGGCAGGTAATGTATGCTTCAAGGAGGAATTTCCCAGGTTGTTTTCCTTATCCACCAACAAGCATGGTATGGTAAATATCTTCTTTCAGAGAAGGGGAGAAGCTGGTAGTTGGAAAATGGGTTTCAAAAGAGCATTATTGTGAGTAGATTTTATACTCTACTTAGTACCGTACCTACACCTTGCAGCAACATAACAGATAAATTGATATGGGTGGCAGGCACATCAAGGATGTTTACTATTTCTTCATCTTATAATTGGTGTGAGTCCTTTCTTGGGCCTAAGCTGGACATGGCAGGATCAATTTGGAATAATTGTGCTCTACCCAAAGTGCAATTTTTTGGGTGGTTAGCTTAGCAAGGTATGGGTAAAACTTTTAGTTTTCTGTAAAGAGTTGGTATCCTTGATGGGAATGCTTATATTGTTTGTCTGTTTTGTCAAAGTGAGGTAGAAATAGTGGATAATATTCTTCTTTTTTGCCCTTTTGTATGGAGGCTTTGGTCAAATATAATAAAATGGTGGGGTCTTCAGTGGGTTTTACCTGGCTCTGTTAATGGATTGCTGTAGTGGTGGTCTGGGTGTAGAATGAAAAAGTTGGAAAAGAAAATTTGGGCAGTTATTCCTTTAGCCATTCTATGGTCCACTTGGAAACATAGAAACGAGTGTGCGTTTCATGGCATTCAACCAAATTGGGATGAATTGTGTGATATTGTGAAGTTGAGAGTAGCAATGTGGATAAAGGCTTCTCCAATAGCAGTGGTTTCTCTGTTAATGACCTTGTGTTTAATCTGCAACAAGTGTAGTACTGCATCAGGAATGGAGGCTGAGTCGTTGGAGTGCTATGCTGAGTCTGTTGTTGGACTGCTGCTAGAAAGCTATGCTCGGCTGAGTCTGCTGTTGGACTGCTATGCTCAGTATACGACAAGCCCTGGTGGTGATCTGTCTTGTGGGTAATCTGATATGCTAGTGTTGATGAACTGATTTGCTATGCTCAGTAGTGGACTGATACGCCTAGCAGTAGACTGCTACTTTGGACTGCTACACTCAGCAGGGGTTGTTAGTCTTGGTTATGTTTTTTCTGTTTTGAGGGGTCTCTATTTCTGTGGTTGGTTGCTAAATGATAGGATTGATTTTTTGGTGCCAACCTAGTTAGGATGATTTAACTCATCGTGATGTTTTCACACTTGCCTCTCTTTATTGATGTTTTGTGTGTTGTACCTTGTACTTTGCTATTACATCAATAAAGTTTCTTTTTTGCTGATAAAAAAAAAAACTTTGCATATGGTGTGTAACCCTAGAGGGATTGCACACCCAAACACTTTTCTAATTTATATACAAAATTAGATTAGTTGAATATCTGTGGTATTATGATCCGGTTATATATATATATATTGAAAGCATTATGAAAATTAAGCTAACGATTTACTTTTTTACAGGGTTACAAATATTGAATTAGAAAAAAGATAGGGACCAGAATCTAGGAATCCAGAATTGACCAAGAATGAATATATGTATAGTAGAGATTAAATTGATAAACAGTGAAATTTATGAGTGAAATAAATTTGAACAATTGATTTCCATTTCTAGTAAATAATTATGGGTTTGTAGTGTTGATTGAATTAACTTGTTTTTTCTGCGGTTGGATGCTCTGAGATTATGTATTCTCACATCCCAGCAATTGTCTCTCCTCTCTTCTCTCTCCTTCTCTGTTTTTTTTACACATCAATCAATCACTTTTTCTCTTTTCTCTCCTCTCTCTCATTCTCTCACATTCTATATATCAATCAATCAATTTTTCTCTCACACCTATCTATTCAACTAAAAAAAATAAAAAATACAAATCATTACAAAATTAATTTCAAAATTCATAACCAAACAACTTTTCGATTTTCAAATATTTATCTTTTAAAATATAACTCAAAAGCTTTTTTTAAAAACTAAACCAAATAGAGCCATAATCCTTTGTCTCGGGCTGAAGTTGGGATTGGACGGGAAGGCGTTGATAGAGCAGGAAACTGCATTGTATGATCGCCAGATTAGGGTTTGGGTCCTGATGCCTAACGGAGGTACTTCATTTATATGCGTATGGGGGGTAACAATAAAAAATATATTAAAAAAATGAAAAAACTCCATAGTTTGACCATCGTAACAAAATGAGCCTAAATTTTTAATTTTATCAATTTCAATACTAATCTTTTAATTTATTTTCAATTTAAACTATTTACCTATTTTTGTTAAGTGAAACCAAAATGGTATTTCGATCATTAAATTTAACGAAAAAGGGTAGTTTAGATATTTTATGTAGCCTACATTGAGTTTAATGAATAAAATATAATTTTTCAATTTTACTTAATAGAAATAAGCAAATAGTTTAGATTAAAAATGAATGAAAAGATTTGAATTTAAATTGATAAAATTTAAAAATCGGGGTTTATTTTATTATAACGGTAAAATTTTGGGATTTTTTTGTTATTTTTAATTTATTTTTTTTTGTTGTAATTACTCCTATATGTATAGATATACTGTTTGCAACTTTGCACATTTTTGGGTTTCGCTTGTGGGCTTCATTTAAATTCAATTGTCCTTGAATAAATGCTTCATTTAGGTTAATTTTCATGATTATGATGCATGAGTTTTGAATTTCAAAAGTAAAGTTATGTTCTCTGATTGTGAAATTTGATTTTAGGCTGAGCAAGGCTCACTACAAAAGATTAAGGTTTTAGAGACCAAAATTTAGAGATAAAATTATTTTTAGGGATCAAATAATTTTGTTGCGGTTGTTATTATATTTTTAGCAACAAAATTAGACATTAGTGATGAATTATTATCTTTTTGGGACCAAATTTTTTGTCTAAAAAAATAAACGTATTTTCAGACCAAATTATTTTATCCCTAAAAATCTATTTATTAGTGACATTTTAAAAATTTTGTCACTAAAAGCCTTGTTTTTACTTTTCGGGACGATCTTTTAGCGACTATCCTCGTGACGATAGAAATTGGTATCTAAATGTCTTTTGTAACAAAATTTTTACCAAAATATTTGGTTTTTAAAACTCTTACACTACGCCAAAATAAAAAATATATTAAAAAAAATGAAAAAACTCCGTAG